ATTACAAGTCGAGTAGGATCTTAGCGAGGAACTTTGCCAGACGATAAGGATATTGGGCGGCCCTCGAGGTCATCGTTTTACCCTCCAGAATCAAATGTTTATGACCAGGACGGAACGAGCAGAAACCATGCTTCCCGTGGCATCTGAGGCGATCCGGGAAATTGATAGCCAGGTTGCCTGACTCGGTGGGGCAGCCGATGACAATCCGCGTGGATTTCCTCCAATGAGCGCCGAAAGCGCACTGATGCAGGTTTATAGCCCACGAGTGCGGAAGAACATGAGCGGCCACATTATCTTGCCGCCACAAGTACGAGCCCATTGGATTCTCCATAGCATAAGGGATCTTGAAATGAACGCACAACCGAATGATGTAGACTGCGACAGATAAACATAAGTTTCCAATCTTTACTGTTTCCCGATCATGGGCTCGCAATCGTGGTAGGCCCTGAGGAAACTTGGCACTCCTGACGGGGTACCTGTTCCGGGCCAGCGAGAAGGACGCGCACGGAGGCGCAATCATCACAGCACGAATGAGACCACGGCGAAAATGATCCGCGATGATGCGGAGGTTAGCAGCACTGCACACATCCTGATCAGCACCATGCCGAAGGTCTAAGCTGATGGCAGGTACCCCCAGCTTGCGAGCCCACGCGGCGACCCCTCCACCACCGGCGAAGAGATCCAGGAGATACGGAGCCTTCTGCGCCTTGAGCACGGCGCAGGCGGCGGCCTTGCTCAGGCCGTGGGGCGCTGGGATGCTGGAACGGGTGCGGGGCGGCCGTGAAGGATGACATCCTCCATCACCCTCAGAGCAGCCACGCAGAACGACTTCGTGAGCTCCGACAGGCCTTCCCACGACTCGTTCAGCCTGCCCGCCTTCTCGTAGCGCTTGACCGAGGTGAGTGTGGCCCAGCGCCCGCGCTTCTGGACCTCCTCTTGAGTCCGGCGGTTCGAGGCCCTGTCCAGACTTGCCCCGGAGTGTCTCCCCTGGCAGGGCACCGCGTCGACCCCGATGTCGTGAGCCGCCCGCCTGAACAGCGCCAAGAACTGCGGGTAGGTCAGGCCGAGCAGCGGCTGAGACGACCCTCGATCGCGAAGGGCCCGGTAGATGTGATGCATCCAGGCCATCCTTCCTGAATCGATCGGGATCGAGTCGTCCGACGACCCCGTCTTGCTGCGCGCCGTGCCGCTCTCCGGGAAGAGGAGCAGCACCCAGTTGTCCACGGCGTGGCTGCAAGGCGGCAGGAACGAGTTCGACGTCAGCCCCAGCATCTCGCCGGGTCGAAGATAGCACTCCACCATGATGAGCACCATCACCCCGGCGAGAGGAGCGCCCAGCCTGGCCATCTCGACCGCGATGCCCGCCCATATCGCGAACACCAAGGGCTTCCGCGATCTTGATGGGCTGAGCCGCTTCCAACCTTTGAGAGTACGAAGGGCACGTGGCATGTAGAGGCCACCCGACTTCCCATAGTCCGGGTGGAAGAACATCATCGCAGCAATGAGCTTCTCTCCACGCCAGCTCTTGACCCCCTCGAGGAAGAGCTTGTTCATGTACTCGACCAACTTCACGTCCAGCACGGCCGACGCGGGCATGGCTGTCAGCAAGAAGCCTGCCCAGGCACAGAACGCGAGGGCGCACTCTCGGTAGGTCTCCAGCGACCTGGCCCCCACCGAGCGCTTCTCCAAGTAGCTCAGCCCCGTGTTGTGGCCGTGCCTCCAGATGTCGCCGCCGCGGGCCTGGATGGCCCTGCGGACGCGAGCCTTGCCCCGAAGCTCGAGGTTCCGGCGCGAGGCGGTCACCACCCGCCGCTCCTCCACGTCGCTGCTCTCGTAGCTCTGTGAGGCGCCCGCGTCCACGGCCGCCGCGGGGACGCCGGCGCTTGCTGGAATCAGCTTGCCCGCCGGCGTCTCGAGGAAGGCCTCCACGGCGTCCGTCTGCGCCGGGCAGTGCGGCGGGGCGGCAGCCACGAGCCTCGCATCCAGGCCCTGGGACGCGTCCAGCACACGCGCTCGCCTCGCCGGCGGGGCCGCCGCAGAGCTGCTCGCGCCCGCCCCCGGGCTCAGGGTGCGCACTCTGCGAGGCGCATTCGCCGCCGGCTCCTGCAGGGAGCCCGCGGCCGGCGCCTGCGGCGGCAGGCTGCCGCGCTGCAGCGTCCGCTGGCGGCCCGGCGAGGCCGGCTGGGCCCCCTCCATCGCACTGCCGCGAGGAGCCTGAGGACACGGGACCCGAGGCCTGGTTTGAGCCTAAATGGGATACGAGGGTCTTGGAGCTGTCATATTCTGGATCAAACTTCCGAATGCCTTCATCGCCAGAGTTGAACTCGCTTGGTATCCATCGGACAACAAATCTGATGTTTCTCGCCAGACAGAGCGCAGCAAAACGTCGGACCTGAATTAGCAGCCGAAAATCCCTGGACCTGAAACGACAAAAACAGAGCACTACCGAGAGATTGTCCCCCAGTAGGAGGACGCGGCAGTCTTTGACTGGCTGAGAATGGGCCGCACGAGAGGCAGCCTTCACCAGTGCTCTGGCCTCAAGCCTCAGAATATCGTCAGCAAAAACCCAGCGATCTGCCATCACGGTCTTCCAGTGGGAATCGTGAAGCAGCTCATGCGGGACCTCGGGGAACCCCGGGTCGCACTCCCAGCGCTCGCTGTTGAGGATGTCCAGCAGCTCGGAGTCGAGCCGCCTCGGCGCCCCCATCGGCGTCGCGGACAACCTCGCCCGTCTCTGAGTTCAAAAGAAACCCGGCACTCTCGAAGGCGTGCTGACGAGCCAGACCAGCGCCCAAACGCCACCGACTCAGCTCCGAGATGCGGCCGACTAGAGCCACCTGGGCAGAGTCGAACTCCGCCTCCGCGACGCCGTATCCGTAAAGGCTGGCGTCCGACGAGTAAACGAAAGGCATCCAGTCGCGGTCCCAGCGAGCCTCGAGCATCACCATCAATCCCAAGAAACACTCCAGTTCCTCTCGAACAGTGGGCCAAAGGACTGAAAAGGTGTGATAGCTGCTCGTCACGAAAGCGTACACTGCGTGAAAGATAGACAGCAGCTCGCGCCGAACCAAGGCCATGAACGTCATGTGGCCCAGCACCATCTCAAGCTGCCACCCGGCAACCTTGCGCTGCCTGAGGAGACATCGCAGGCCCTTCCGCACGGCTGCGAACCTCTCGTCCGTAGGCCGCGTGCAGAGCCTCGCTCCATCCAGGTGGCAGCCCAGTGTACGACCACCTCCCACGTGAAGTTCAACCTCATGAAACTTGAGATGGTCACGATCGAAATCGGACTGGGCTTCGTAAAGGGCTGAGCGGACGGCGGTGTCTGACAAACCAAGGACGCCGGCGTTATCGACGTACATGAAGTGGCCGAGGTCCTCACTATGTGGCCCGCGGCGAAGGACAAGAGGCGGCCCTCGATCACTGAGCCGCAAGCTCTTTGCCAAGGACGGCTGCCGATCGAGCCGCGACTGGTTGGCCGCCTGCGCGAAGAAGAGCGACCATGAGAAGCCCATCGGCAAGCTCTGACTCATGGGCCACACCATCTCCGAGTCGCCAGCCGCCTGACCCTCGATGAGGGTCTCGCCTGTGGCAGAGGCTAACAGCGGCGGCCAGCAGAAGTAGCGCCGAATGTCGCCGTCCAGCTTCATCCGATGGAAGCAGTCGGCGACGTCGCCGACCCCCAGGACAACGCGCAGCTCGCTGAGGTCCCCCTCCTTAAACACCGGCACCTCGATGCGGCCAAGCCCTTCACCTGACAGCAAGTCGACACCAGGCGGGGGACGAAAAAGAGCATTGCTGCGTCTACAGTCCACGATGAGGCGCAGGCGCTCACCATCCTTCTTCTTTACAAACATGATGGACCCACGAACCCGGAAAGGGATAAAGACATGTGCAGCATGGTCACGTTTTCACGATACCCAACTGGGCGACATCTCACGAAACATCCCACGAGACACCCCGCGAAACATCCCACGAGACACCTCACGAAACATTCCACGAGACACCTCACGAAACATTCCACGAGACACCCCGTGAAACATTCCACGAGACACCCCACGAACAGGCAACCACTCAACCAGACACGCCACGAAACATTCCACGGGGGTGCGACTGGGTGTGGTCGTGCTGGGGTGTGGTCGTGCTGGGGTGTGGTCGTGCTGGGGAGTGGTCGTGCTGGGGTGTGGTCGTGCTGGGGGGTGGTCGTGCTGGGGGGTGGTCGTGCTGGGGGGGTGGTCGTGCTGGGGGTGGTCGTGCTGGGGCGTGGTCGTGCTGGGGCGTGGTCGTGCTGGGGCGTGGTCGTGCGTGGTCGTGCTGGGGTGGTCGTGCTGGGGTGTGGTCGTGCTGGGGTGTGGTCGTGCTGGGGTGTGGTCTTGCTGGGGTAGGGTCGTGCTGGGGTCGGGTCGTGCTGGGGTGTGGTCGTGCTGGGGTATGGTCGTGCTGGGGTGGGGTCGTGCTGGGGTGGGGTCGTGCTGGGGTCTGGTCGTGCTGGGGTGTGGTCGTGCTGGGGTATGGTCGTGCTAGGGTGGGGTCGTGCATTTCGCTCGAGACATCCTGCCAAAATTCCAGGAAATCGTACAAAAACAAAGGAATTAGTCGAGACATCATCGAAATTCCTTCGCGCGGGGCGCTTTTCCGCGTCGCGGTCGGCTCTGCAAAACAAGCGTTTCGCTCGAGACATCCTCGGCAAACTCTGCGGAGCAAGCGTTTCGCTCGAGACATCCTCAACACACGAAAAAGTGGCCCGCACCCTGTGATTTATCGATCGGGATTTCAAAAACAAGCGTTTCGCTCGAGACATCCTCAAATTTTAATCCGCCGGCCTCCTTCGACCTCGATATTTATCAGGGAAAAAATCCGCCGGCCTCCTTCAAGTTGGCACCGGGGGATTAGGTTTACCAACTAAAAGAGAACCCTGGGCCCCCGCCCTTTCCGGGAAAAAACAGTCCAAGAACGCTCAAAGGTCGTCGGGTCAAAGTCACGAGCCCGATCCTGAGCGCCCGTCTCACGAACTTCGCGTAGCTCCGAGGACGTTGGAGCAGCAGAGGGTCAGTATGACAACCAGGAAGTCCATGAAGCTCTCGTATTAGTGCCGCCTCACGAGGGGGAAGCAGCATCTTGGTGGAGTACTCCTCGAGGAAAATCCTCGCCTCCGCAGGTAGCATCTGGGCCAGACTGGGGGCGTCCAGGACGCAGTCCGGCAAGCTGACCCGCGAGTACTCGTAGGAGCCCATGCTGGTAGAGCCAAGAGGAGCGTAGCCCGCCTTGCCCTTCAGAAGCTTGGCCAACGCCTCCTGCTCTGTGATGGCGCTGTCAACGTCAATCCAGCGACGAGCCGCCGAGAAGACGCGCTGCTGCACATCGGCCCTGATGAGATCCATCTTACGCTGGCTAACGCTCCCCTCGGGCGCCGTGCCACTGCGATGCTCACCACCGTGCAAGTAATTCAAGCTCTTGCAGGCTGCGTTGCCGTCTCGCAGCCAGCGGCGCCGCTGACCAGGCGTCAGGCCGTCGCACCAGTCGTCAGGGAGCGCCGCCAACGGGGCTATGGGCAGGCAGGCCGACCCACGGAGCCCCGAACTGCCCTTAGTTCTGCGGGAGACGGTCGGGCACTCGCCTCCCTCGGCCTCGGGCGTTATGTGCCCGGCGGGCGGCGGCCACGGCCCCGCCCGCCTCGACCGCGGCCCCTGCCGGCCGCATCACCTCCCTCAGCGCCGACCGCGGCGCCGCCGGCAGCTCCAGCGGCGGGCAGGCCGCCAGAGGCGACGGCCGCGGCTGCCGCGCCCGCGCCGTCGGCTGGAGCAGCGCCGGGGACGCGGGACCGCATCCGCAGCGCCTCCAGCTCCTGCTCCTCCTTGGACAGTCGGCTGGCATAGCTCCGGAGCGCGTCGGGCACCAAGTCGAGCGGGTTGGTCGTGCCGCCCAGGTGCTTCGCCGCGCCCCAGTTCGCGTTCTCGGCCCCGTGCGCGTAAGCCTCCACATACTGCAGCAGCCGCCGCGAGACCACCTCCAACGACGCCAGGGCGCCCATGTTGAGCTGGTCATAGGTCCCCGCCAGGTACAGCACTTCGATGAAGGTCTGCACCTCGTGGTAGGCGCGATCCTTCCTGGTCACGCCCTGCTCCTTGCACCACTCCTGAAACCACATCTTGGGCGCGCCACCATGGCGATACATCTTACGACAAATCTCGAGGCAGGCGGGAGGCCCACGGATGCTCGAGTCCGAGAAGATCTCCTGTGTGCTCTCCTGCACGACCTTCCTCCACTCCTTGAACCTGGCACCGGTCTCGTCGGTATCGATCCAGCACGTGCGCAAGTCCTCCCTCTCGTGAGTAGCGACGCACTCGGGGCCAAGCCCCCCGCCCTCTGGCTCTGGCGGGGGGGTGGCGGTCCCGCCAGCGCCGGCCTCGCGGCCCGGGAAGAGCCTCTCCTCTAAGGCCTCGCGGGCGGGTCGGAGCTTGTCGGCCGCCACCAGCTTATCCTCGCGCCACCGCTCCATCGCGTCGTCCGTCACGAACTCGATCGGGAACCACTCGCCCCGCGGGTCCTGGTCGACGCCGCACCTGCCCCGGACGACGGCGTTCGGCGACAGTCTCACCTCAAGCCCGAAGTCGGCGCCGCCGTCGAGCGAGCTTAGCACCCAGGTGCCTGGCGGCAGCTCCTCGGGCGGCGGCGGCCGCGGCCCGGTGGCGCCAGCGCCCCCGTCGGCGTCGGCGAGCGGCGCAGCCGCCTCGGCCTCGGCGGGGCGGACCTGCTTGCCGCGCAGCCGCCGCTCGACCCTCGGCGCGTCGACCGCCATCACGTCCGGCACTGCGAGGCGGCGACCGGTCCAGGTCACGCCTGTCCCGGCCCATGTGGCGGCCGCGTTGCCGTGGTCAGCGATCGCCTCACCACGGCCCCGCTTGACGACGCTGAGAAGCTCCTCGTCAGTCAGGGGCCGGCTGAAGGCAACAACATTGGTCGTGCCCGGCGGGTAGACCCGCTTGCCAGTCCACTTCACCACTGAGGTATAGTCGGCCCGCCCTTCAGGATACAAATGGTTGCCAGCAGTATACACCATCCACTCCGAGAGGTCAGAAGCCGTGGGCCAGCACAGAACACGCTCATGCGTCCAGCCTGGATCCGACGAATACTGCACCAGCACCCGCATGCCAGGCACGGCTCCGTCGACGAGCGCCATCACGCCACGTGGATCCGCGCCTCTCCGACGGGCTCAAGCCCGCGCCGTGCCGAAACCCGGCCCTCGCACCAGCGGCAGCAGCCCCAGCCAACGAAGGCCTGCAGCACGACGACGATCGCGCTCGCCGGCACCACCGGGACCTCGACGGTCGCGGTCACGCCCTCGCCCACCACGCGCAGCGCCTCCGGGGACGCTGGAGTGGGCGCTGGTGGCGCCGGCGGCGCCGGGCAATGGATCTGCGGGTCGAAGGCGGGGCACGGCTCCCGCGTCACGCTGGTGATGGACGAGCTGGTAGAGGCGTCCTCTAGCTCGTGTCCTGGCCCGTCACGAGGCCAGTCAGGCTCAGGAACCACCGCAGGCCCGAGAAAGCCGTGGGCCGCGAAGCCGACCCAGAAGGCGACTATCGCTCCTGCCGCGGCGGTGGGAGAATGCGCAAGCATGCCCGCTTCAAGCTTGAGCCCAGGCAGTTATGGAAACGGGTGATAACTGCAGGGGTGCAACAGACTAAACACTCATAGCAAGACCGTGCATCGCACAACCAGCGTTGTGGATCGAGTTCTCCCTGGCATCCGAGTCCTCACCGAACTGATCTGGATCGTAAGCTCAAGCTGCCTGAGCAGATGGTAGCTACCCCAGAACTGATCGACAGAGGGAACATGCCAAGAGGACGCGCCGCGGAACGTCCCAAGGGACGCGCCAGGCGACGTGCCAGGGGACGTGCCATGGGCACGCACCGCGGGACGTGCCAAGGGGACGCGCTACGGAACGTGCCAATGGACGTGCACCGCGCGACGTGCGAGGGGAACTCGCCACGGGACGCTCCGCGGAACGTGCCAGGCAACATGCCAGGCTGCAATGCTAAGGGTATCGATATTGATGTACCGTGCCGAGGGCTGTGCTGTGCCTGGGCGACCTGGACACGTGAAAACACACGTTTCGCTCAAGACGTTGTCAGCACATCCTCATGCTAGGCATCCGCCCGGGCAACCTGGACACTTGCAAACAAGCGTCTCGCTCGAGACATCCTCAACAAATGCTCATGCTAGACATCCGCCTGGGCGACCTGGAAAAGTGAAAACAAGCCTCTGGTTCGAAACATCCTCAACAATCCTCATGCTAGACATCTGTCTGGGCCACCTGGAGGCGTGAAACCAAGCGTCTCGCTCGAGACATCCTCAAGGCCTGAGCACGTGAAAACAAGCAATCCACTTGAGAGATCCTCAGAATTCAAGTCCCCAGAAGAGGACAATTTATAACACAAAACAAGCGTTTCGCTCGAGACATCCTCAACAAATTCTGAAAAGCAAGCGTTTCGCTCGAGACATCCTCAAATTTTGATTCGCCGGCCCTACGCGACCTCGTTATTTAAAGGCTGCCGCCTCTGCCGCCGACCCCAAATGAGGCCTTGAGTTGTGTTTGTTTTCAGTGTCGCTGCGAGCGGTTCCCGCAACAGCGGGGGAGTGAGGAGGGCGGTATTCACGTTGAGTAAGTGACGACGCGGGCAGCGCTGCAGCGGGACCGCGATGCGGAACGAGCGGGAGCTGGGGTGGACTGCGCTCGTGTATGTGTGGGCGTGTTTGTGTGCGATCGTGTTTTTTCTCCTCTCTCTCTCTCTCTCTCTCTCTCTCTCTCTCTCTCTCTCTGTCTCTCTCTCTCTCTCTCTCTCTCTCTCTCTCTCTCTCTCCTTTTGCCTTTTTTTTTTTCTCTCTCTCTCTCTCTCTCTCTCTCTCTCTCTCTCTCTCTCTCTCTCTCTCTCTCTCTCTCTTTCTTTCTCTCTCCGTCTCCCTGTCTGTCTCTCTCTCTCCCTCTCTCTCTCTCTCTCTGTAGACCGTGTCGTCCCGCCACTGTGCCTTGTTTAATTTTTTGTGGCTGTTGTAAGTGTGAAGGGGTGGAGTTGTCTGGGCTCCCTGGAGGCCTCTTTGTTTCTTCGAGTGTTTTTTGGGCGCCTTTTGGCGCCCCCCTGTGCCTTCTCGGGGCGGTCGAGCGTGGGTCCTGGACCGTCTTCAACGCCGTGGAGGCCGCAAATTCGTATATGAGTACATTGATTGTGTTCTAGACGGATTTGACGATTTGGGGCATGGGGCCCCTTCTGGGCGTCCTGCTTCAAGCCTCTTCGGTCGTCTTGGAGACTTCTGTGGTCGGCTTGCGTCCATCTCGGGCGTCTTGTGTCCATCTGTGGCCGTCTTGGGGCCGTTTTGGCCCGACGTGGGGGCTGTCCTGGGCCCTCTTGGCCCGTCTTTGTGTGCTTTTGTCTCCGAAGCAGCCACGCGACAAGACGCGGTAAGGCCGAAGGGTCACGCGGGAAGCCCCTTTACATATGACAATTCAGAGTCCGGGTCGTTTCAAGGCTCCTCAGGATGAGGACAGAGGTACCCGACCCGAGGGCACGCCCACGCCGTGCCCGAGGCACGGTCACGGATTACGATCCGTCCTGACGTGCGTTCAGTGACCCCTTGGTTTTTTTTGGGGGGGGCGGTCGCTGGTGTTGGGGAGGGGTCAGTTGGAGGTTCCGCGTGGCGGTCTCAGGGCAGCATGGGTTGTGTGGATGCCATCTCAAGCGTTCTGCTGCTTTTTTGGGGGGTGTGCGAGTCGGGATTCTCTTGTATTGTCTGTGGGCCTTCTTGGGAGGCCCCAGGGGGTGTTTTTTGGAGCTCAGGAGCGAGCCGAGGGACTTTGGCGCATCTTGGGCAGTGCCGGCGCCCTTTTGGGGGCGTCTTGGGAGTCTCTTGAGCCGTCTTGTGACGGTCTTGGGAGCTTCTTGGACCGTCGTCAACGCCGAGAAGGCCGAAAAGTCGCACATGCTGCGTGGGCTGGGGCGTGGTGGAAGCGCGGTGGGGGGCATGGTGGGGGGCGTCGGTCGGCTTTAAGCGAGAAATAATGGTATGGGGGTTCCCAAGAACAGAGGCTCCATCTTCGCCCGATCTATCTTTTTACTCTGGGCTTGTAGATGCTCGTGTGTCACGGTGTTCGATCCAGTTCCTTGTTTGTCTGGGTTTGCAGCCGCCGTGGACTGTTTTTTTTTCGCCGGTGATATCCTTGGAATTCCGACTCCAACACCAGCGCCGTTAGCAGCACGCCAGAAACGGAGGAGGAGGAGGAGGAAGAGGAGAAAGAGAAGGAAGAGGAGGACGAGGGGGGGGAGGAGGAGGAGGAGGGGGTGGAGGAGGAGGGGGAGGAGGAGCAGGAGCAGGAGCAGGAGCAGGAGGAGGAGGAGGAGGAGGAGGAGGAGGGCGAGGTATCGGTAGGTTTTGGGCGAGAAATCGTAGGGGTGGGGGTCCCAAGAACCGAGGCTCCATGGATGGGGATGCCGGGCCCGGAGAGGGGTATCGGTAGGTTTTGGGCGAGAAATCGTAGGGTGGGGGGTCCCAAGAACAGAGGCTCCATGGGGCGGGGATGCCGGGGCCAGGAGGGGGGTATCGGTAGGTTTTGGGCGAGAAATCGTAGGGTGGGGGGTCCCAAGAACAGAAGCTCCATGGGGTGGGGATGCCGGGGCCAGGAGGGGGGCATCGCTAGGTTTTGGGCGAGAAATCGTAGGGTGGGGAGCCCCAAGAACAGAGGCTCCATGGGGTGGGGATGCCGGGGCCAGGAGGGGGGTATCGGTAGGTTTTGGGCGAGAAATCGCAGGGTGGGGGGCCCAAGAACAGAGGCTCCATGGCGTGGGGATGCCGGGGCCAGGAGGGTATATCGGTAGTTTTGGGCGAGAAATCGCAGGGTGGGGGGCCCCAAGAACAGAGGCCTCCATGGGGCGGGGATGCCGGGGCCAGGAGGGGGGTATCAGTAGGTTCTGGGCGAGAAATCGCAGAGTGGGGGGTCTCAAGAACAGAGGCTCCATTGGGTGGGGATGCCGGGGCCAGGAGGGGGGTATCGGTAGGTTTTGGGCGAGAAATCGTAGGGTGGGGGGCGCAAGAACAGAGGCTCCATGGGGTGGGAATGCCGGCGCCAGGAGGGAGGTATCAGTAGGTTTTGGGCGAAAAATCGCAGGTTGGGGGGGGCCCGGAACAGAGCCTCCATGGGGTAGGGATGCCGGGGTCAGAGGGTGGGTACCGGTAGGTTTTGGGCGAGAAATCTAGTGTGGGGGTTCCAAGAATAGAGGCTCCATGGGGTGGGAATGCCGGGGGCAGGAGGGGGGTATCAGTAGGTTTTGGGCGAGAAATCGTAGGGTGGGGGGCCCCAAGAACAGAGGCTCCATGGCGTGGGGATGCCGGGGCCGGAGGGTGGCATCGGTAGGTTTTGGGCGAGAAATCGTAGAGTGGGGGACCCCAAGAACAGAAGCTCCAGGGCGTGAGGATGCCGGGGCCAGGAGGGGGGCATCGGTAGCTGTTGGGGGAGAAATCCGCCGACCCCAGAAGGCGTGCGAGGGAAAGGGTGCCAGCCTTTCCTCGGCCGAGTACGCGAATAATGGTGCATGCTGTCATTTATACATGTACATGTACACGAGTCCTTCTCGCCCTAGCATCGCTATCACTGGCGCCGGCGGTGAACCGTCAACCTGGTCACCGCCGGGAACCTCGTAGAGCTCTTTTCACGTGTAAGAGAGCTCAGAGTCGAAAGAGAAAGCTTCTGGAAGCATTTCTCGAAAAAGGGAAAACATTATTTTTTTGTGTCGACATAAAGTTGGTTCCTCCAAGTGTTTTGATTGTAAAAGTGCGCCTACAGAGCTCATACTAAGACAGGAGAAAGTTTAAATACTAATGCTCGGAGTAAAAATCTGCTTTTCCAAAATGAATTGTCAAATATCTTTCAAAAAATGCAAAACCACCCAAAAGTTATCACATCTTCTTTTCTGGTCGGGTCGACCAACTGAGATCCAGCGGTAAATCGTCAACCAGGTTACCGCCGGGACCCTCGTAGAGCTCTGAATAGACAAGTGAGATCAGAGATAATAGCACAAAAACGCTTCTAAATATCAGCTTGAAAGATAAAGGAATCTTTGTTTCCGTCGTACAGAATACTGGTTCCCCGCAGTCTTTTCATCGATATAATGTAGCTAGAGCCCTAAG